TTACCTTTTTTGGCCTCACCTATCTTGCTTTACTGAAAAAAGGGACAAGATTTTCATGCAGGGGCTGCATCTGCCTATGTGCTCCAATCAGCATCAGTATCTACGGGCTGTACATTCACATAGGCAAATGCAGCCCCTGCATGAAAACCTTGTCCCTTTTTTACAGAATTATATCTCACTCACTCTTTTGTCTGTTACCCTGATCTGGATAACAACCCTATGAAATCACTGCTGACTCACAGTTCAAGTTCCAGTCATGATGTCATTTACAAATAACCCTGATGGTGGGCCCATTTTTTCACATTTATTTGCTGCAGTCTCAAAGTGTTCTGTTAGATCCTGAAGTAATTTACCATAAATCTTTCTCAACAATTTTGTTTTCTCAATTTGTAGATGGAATGAAAAACATACCCTCTGGGGATGACTTTCCCCCAAAAGACTGCATTATTTTAGGCACTTTTTCATTACTTTATTTCTGTTATAGTTTTCAGTGGCTCTTCCAGTAAGCATTTGGCTCTAAATATCAGATAGATGCATATGCTGCCATTTTGTACAAACCACAAATAAGGGAGGAAAGCAGAACATCATTCTCCCATTTCTTTCTCTCTTACCGTCTTTGTCTGAAGCTGCCTTTTTACCTTCTCAATTATTTGTTCTAATGTAGAATGAACAGAGAGGTATGTTATTTTTACTACAGAGGTTATATGACCCAGACAATGCCACTGAACTTTGTTCACTATCAGTATGTTCCCATATTTTTCCAGTCAATCACAACTTTCTTTGGAACCTCCCACATTCATGAACTGCCCTTTGGCTACTAGACTGAAACCCTGAAGCACTAGCATCCCCTAGTGGTGTCCTGTATCACAACAGTTTGCTTCATTGCAGTATTCTTGGAGATTGACTTTTAGTAGAAAGTACACGCAACGTGCCTCATAATGCCATGTTATGCCTCTTAGCTACCAATCCTGTAGAGTACATCAAGAGTAGAAACACAGTTTTCTTTTAACTGGCTTTAACCACTGCACCTATCACATACTTATTATAAAAGACACACACATTTAAGTGCAAGGGCTTATTTGTAAGACTCGTTAAACAAAGAGACAAATCAATCAAATAAAAAGATGACAATACACCTTGGAGCCTTCTTGGAGGCTTTAAAAGAAAAGATAGCCATTCAGCCTATTTCTAGGACAGTACGCTCCACAGCTATTCATTTCTACTCAGCTTTTTACATTAAGATGGTTTGTGGAGAAGAAACAGATTTAGCTGAGATCTATACAGACCAGGAACTGGCAACTTACTTTACGGCATGAGGATTTTAGATTAGAAGTATTGCCCTACATTTCATGAATACTTCATGAAAATTCAACAATCTGTTCAGAAAATATTCTGAGTCCCGCTATGCTCTGTTCTATGCACAAGTGTCTCTTGTTTATGTGCATAGACTGAGTGCCAGTTAATGCAATATTATCTAGTCCAGCACTGAAGTAACAGCTCTCTCTTTAGACACAACTGAAATGCTCTCTCCTCATTCCTGAATCACTGGCCGTGGGACAAAAGACATTTCCTCTGCTCAAGCCTGAAGCTGTATAATTCTGAGTCAGCAATAACCCCCTAATGCTATTACACAGGGCGCAATGGTTTGGTGACCAAGACAGCAACAGGTCCATCTGCAGGGAATGGGACTTGAGTTAAGCACGTAATTATGTCTGACTGTAATGATCAGGGATGAACATAAGTATGAGCATAAGTGCTTTGCTAAACTGGGGCGTCTGCAACAGAACCCCACCAATCCCATTGCATCTCCAGCTCTCTCCAGATTCAGAGGTGGAAATAGGATGCTACCCTGATTATCTTGCACCTTAAGTCCAATATGCCCATGATACGATCTAACATCTACTCCCCCACCCCCGCTGCATTTTGCTATCGCTAATGCCATGTAGCAGATTTTTATACCAGGTCCTAGTGCCTATCTTGGATGCCTACCTCTGATATTTGTCTGGAATTCAATACTGGATGCTTGGGGTAAGAAAAGACAGGACTGAGCCTATGTGCTCTGACCATAGTTTAAGGCTCAAATCCTCAGGCCCTTTCTCAGATCTAATTTAGTACAAATTTGCCTGAATAAATACCCCAGATCAAGCCCTTTATGAGGAGGAGTGAAAACTGAGTTTGTGTGTTAAGTGAGACATGACAAACCTGACTAGCACTTCTTGTTGATACTCTGTTATTTTTGTGGTTAGGGCTCATGAGGATTTTTGTAAGGAAGTTTATTTTTGCAAGCTGCTGAGTGCTGACTGTGACATGGGCTGGTTTTCACTAAAGCAAATATCTGTTAACTTTTGTTAAGGTTCTTGGGCAGACAAATTGTTGCTCTGGAATTTACAAGAAAAGCTGTCTAAAATTGTTTGGTTTAGACTATTCGGTGAAAGTACATGGTATAGGTTTCAACAAATTATGGACAATTATGGTTTAGGACAAACTAATCAGTAGTTTTTCATTTTGACAGCTATCACCTTTCCTCTCTTTTTTCAAAGCTCTAGAAATAATCAGCAGCACTCAGACAATATTTTTTTTTTCTAAAATATCACAATTCAGTATATCTGGAAGATATCTATTGAATATATACATTTGATAAATAATTTTTTATGCAATGTAGCCAATTGTCTGTACCAGTTCATATAAACTGGATGATTCTGAAAATTAAGTAACTATTGTAGTGAAAATATACATTAAAAACAGCACACAGCAGTGAATATTAATCCTGCTGGTTAAATAATGGGACATACACAATAAACACATTACTTAAAATTAAAATTGGTTTTGACCAATTCTTTAGAGCCTTTTACTGGTGCTGCAATCATTCCTCATACATGCTGATGGCTTGAGTATTTCAGTGATCCCTGTGGAGAACAGTATGAATATTTTTTCCAGAGCTGAGAAAAGGAAAATAGATAGCTGTAATGGAACTACAGGAGCAGCCAAGCAGTAGATTGATTCAACAGGAGAAATTCAATGTATCCCAGAAGATTTCCTAGGATTTTCTCTCCTGCTGCGCAGGGCACAATTTGTTGTAATGAGAAACTGAGGATTTTTTTGTCAGGTGTTTTAAAGCTTATAGTGATGGCTTGAAAGTAAAAAGAAGTGAAGTTCAACTGAAAACATCACTCTTTAGAACATCCTTTTGGATCTAGACAGACTAAGAGCAACTTCTTTGAGGTACAAAAGAGATCAAATTTCTCATGCAAGTAACACTTATATGAAACACTTTAACTGAATGTACAGGGTGATAAAACAACCCTATAGTACTAATTGGTTTGAACACTGATGCATATCCCAGAAAACAAACAGGAAGATTTATTAAAAGAGCTGATAAAATTGCATTCTCTGTTACTGTGATCTTTATGCTATGAAATGTATGGCGAAACGAATTAGCATGGCTTGCTCCAAAGTCATTGTTAATAGGTTAAAGGAGAAACGACAAGGGAAGATTTTTTAAGTGAACATTCAAATGGGCATTGCATTCATTTGTGATGAAATTCGCTCCGGCTCAAAGAGCTGATGCAAGTCCTATGCCTTATTGAATTTTCCACTTAAACCCTGTTTTGAAAAGTTAAGTGGGACTTGTGTGGTCATGTGGTTTGCGCTGGCCTGTTGAACAGGGATGATTTTCACTCATAAGGAGTTTGGCTTTTTCAAAGCACTCATGCTCTCTCATTATAACAAGTCACAGCCACTACAGATGTATGATTTCTGCCACTCTTGCCACCCATAACTTATGCAACCCTTTTTCTTTTTACAGTATGGTGAAAACACTTCTTACGATATGGTGCTGTGATGCACTTCAAGTCCCTTCTAAGTTATTCAGAGATAATAGGCTAATGGGACAGCTTCCAGAGCAAAATCCCAAACGCTGACAGCAGCCTACTGAAATCAAAGATGGGCCGAGGGTAAGATGTTCATGTTCGCAGCAGAATGCATTGTTTTGCATTTCCATGCCTCGACATTTCACTGAAATTGCAGAGCCTCATTGTGTGCTTCTGGAGTGATAAAGCAGGACTAAGAGAAGAACTGGATACTGTAATGAAAAACTTATTTTCCGTTTACACAGCTGTAACGTATTAAGCCTTGCACAGGGCCAGCACAGAAGGTGTAGTGTCTACATAGGCACTCGAGAACACTCAACACATTCAGAATCAAAAGACCTGGCACCAGCAGGGGAGCCACAGGCCAATGCAAGCCACGTTAGCTCCCTCCCCATCTCTCCTCTACCAGACTGCTCAGATCTACATGCTGGCCTCCTGAGCTCAGACCCAGAAGGCTGGATGGGCCTGACAGCTATAGCTGCTGCCAGAACCGCAATGTAGACACATCCTACAGGGCCAACAACTTCAGAATCTTCCCCCAGCATCTAGCACAAGAACAAACACTAACTAGGAGGGAGGTGCACGATCCTTCACCAGCTCAGCCTCCTGATGTCAACGAAATAAATCACTTGGGTCCATTCACCACTATTTCCTTCGTGCTTCGTATGAATTAATTTACATTAATTCCATCCCTACCAATCAACTCTACACATTTTACCAGACCTCCCCACATACACAGGCCCACTCTCCATTTCAAACACAGAAGCTCTCATGGCGACAGTCTCTATCAACAAGTGATTTTTCTGATGATGGAATGATGGCTATGATGTGCTTATAAAAAGATCAGAAGCTGACAAAGGCTCCTGTGGATAATCAAATCTGCTATTGTAGTTTCCATTAATATTTCACATTCTGCTCTGTTGACTACCCAAGCAGAATGGATATTTTATTTCATATGCTAATCCAGAAAGCACACTGGGAAATTGAGGTTGAAGGTGTGCACCAAAGCACTTTCAGGAATAACAGTGATCAGCATGCATCGAATCGTCTCGGCGGGGGAGGAAATCTACCTTTAATAAACAGGTCGCCCTGTAGGACAGCTGAATAAACCACTGTCATCACAGTTCTTACCTGTATGGTTTTAGAGTCCTGTTGCCGTAAAGCAAAGCTTCCTCCCAATGTCTGAGATTAATACAGGCGTCCATGGCACAGTCAAGCATTTTCAGCAGATAGATGTTTGTGTCCGGAAGTCGATCCCCATTCTTATTTAGAAGAGCCTGGCACATAGCCAGAACCTGCTCCCACTCTGTTATTAACTTTAGTTAAGGATTCATCTTCTTCATCAAACAAAAATACAAGTTTCAATGTTTTTAGCACCGAATAAGAGCTACGGGGCATTAAGATAAAAGAGATCCCATTATTCCAGGCTGTTTCAACTCTTAAAAAAAGCTACTTAAAAGCGTAAGTGGTACCTCAGGTACCCACGTTTTGTTTACAGTTAACAAAACCATCTTCTAACGAAGGCTGCATTTTAAATGGTAAGGAGTAAAGGAAAGGTGACAAGATGAGAGGATATTATTGTTATTATGATCATATATAACTGAAGCAAAACAAAGCTACAATTATTCTTTAGCTATGTGAAATGTTATTTTCTTAAAATACCTCTTCCGGGTTGGAGTGATTTCTTCATTGTTCTCGTGAAATTAAAACTGAGCCTGCGGATACCTAATTTTCTGTTTATTTGAAATAGTTCTGAAGAGCAAGGTTTTGCTGGTGATATAATTGGTTGTGACAGAGAAGCAGCACTGCAGGTTTCAGGGATAACAGAGAAAAAACACTGTAGTTTTGCTGTCTGATTGTTGCTTACGTTTTAAAGATTTTGGTGAGAAAGATAAAGAGAATAAAAGTGAATTGGGGTTCACAGTCAAATGAATGAAGGATCAATCCATACTGCAAACCACACTGATCATCATCATGTACTGAAGTTACTTAACCTATTCTCCTTTCACTTAGCCTGGTTTAAATCACAAATAAATGCTTGGTAGAATATGGACTTACACTAGCATAAAAGCCATATGAAGGAAAAAGAGGAAATCAGACATGGTTTTCAGTTTTCTGATCGATAAAATGGATACTATGGCCTTGATCCAATAAAACACTTCGGCATAGTCTCAATTTTAGCACATGAACAATCCCACTGATAAATATGCCGAGATATATCCTAGCAAACAAAATAATAATACTTGTGCATTTATATAGCACTTACCATACAAGAATCTCAAAGAACATCACAGTTTATTTAATCTCATATAGCCTTTGATTAATTTAGAAAGCAAATTACATATGTCACTAATGACAGGTTCTTTACTCAGGTAGAGCTTTAATGATAAGTGAGGTTGATGAGTCACGTAGATGTGGACCTGAAGATTTAATTACAAACAGAAATTAAACTATTACTGCAGGACCACAAAAAAGATACAAAAAAGATACAAATGTGTAGTGTTATCATATTCACAAACTCCTAAGGTGCATCTGCACACCAAAGCTATTTTGGAATAATGGTCGTTATTCTGAAATAACTATCCGAGCGTCTACACAGCAATAGTGTTACTTTGAAATAATGGGAGGCTTATTCCAATTTCTGTGAACCTCATTCTACGAAGAATAGCGCCTATTCCAAAATAGCTATTTCAGAATAGGGGCAGTGTATACACACCACTTCTGCTATTTCGAAATAGCCCCTCACCAGGGGCATTCTAAGTTATTCCTTCCCAGTGCTTTCTGGGGCTCTAAATCGAGATAGCGCGTCCACATTAGGAAAGCCTGCCTTGGACTAATTTTGAGGCTTCCCTTCAGCGTAGATGTGCTATTTTGAAATAAACTATTTCAGAATAACTCTTCGGGAATAGCTTATTCCGAAATAAATGTGCAGAGTAGACATAGCTCTAGAGACCACTGAAAACAAATACTGATGAAAGTAATCAGTGGAGTACATCATGAGGAGAGGTGATAGTCCAGGTTGCATCATCTTGTCAACCCCCACGTGCTCAAGCAAACACCTTTTTTATACACCTTTTCTAGCTTACACAAAGCATTTTCATCAGTTCACTTCCCAATGGTCTTGATACATCAATGCAGTTCGATCCCAGGTTACATATACCAATAATCCCCCAAATCAACTATTTTTAATTTATTTTTGTTCTTCTGTTGGTTATTTATCACAATCTATATCTTGCTAAATCTTATGAATGTCAAGCATTCATGCTAACTATCGGGCCTCAAACCTATTGCATTAAGCCTACTTTAAATATTAATATGTATATATGTTATGTCTCCCTACTGTCATAACAGCTTTAATGGCTTCAATTTTATTATTTGAAGTACTTTAGCATTTCTTAGCACATAACATATAGTTTAATCTCATAAAAGAAAGTCCCCTAAAATGAGATGATAGGGATCACAGGTCCACACTCATGCCAATGCCATAAAGTAGCACAGGTCCCAATCCAAGCAAAGCACTCAAGCACAGGGTGAGGGAATGAGTTTTACCTGACCATGGGAAAGTTTATGTACTAAAATTTAACAACACATGTATGTGGGCTTTCCTGAAGCAGGCTCCATAAAACTCACCTCTAAGGCCTGGTTCCTGTGAGGTTAAATTAATTGTTTAAGTGTTTTGAGTTCCTTAAATAGTAAGCCACTTTACTAGGGAAATAATTTATCATTGTTATTTTATGTGCCAATAATGGTATGATTTATGAACACTGATTTCTCACGCAAGATCCAGGGACTATATTAAATGCTTAATTTTAAAAAGTAACTATAAAACAGGAATATCAAACTGTACTTTGACAAGAATTCTTACACTATGCCTGCTGAGAAAATATTAGCATAATATTAATACAGATGTTAATGCAAGATAGGATTATAGAATCCTTTATTAAAAACACTCCTCTAAAAGTCTATTTACAATCATTTCAGATATATGCCTTAATCTTCCTCTCTCAGACACACATCGCTGTATCCTTTATGGCTGATTAAGGATAGATGAACAGGAGAAAGCCACATTATTTTCACTTGATAAAAATGTTTGTAGTAAGCATAAAGCATTGGCACTCTAGCGAGATCAACACCTTTGCTGATGCTCGGCATCACTCAAGATGCTGTCATGTCTCAAGATATTGTTTCATACATTCTGTAGCATCTAATATGAAAAGTGTAATATCGCAAACCTCTTGAGGCCAAATTCTGGCTGGCAAGGTGCATAATCACAAGCCAGAAAACCTGCAATCAGCAGTTTGAGTGCAATGGAGAAATTAGCTGTCCCAATTGTAACTTCAGCTAGAGGAGAAGCCGTTGTGCAGGGGTCTGGGATAGACGGGGTTTCCTTTTCCCGCCTGTCACAGTAATTGCCCTGTGCTCAGCTTTGACTGTTCCATTTGTGCACTTAATCACAAACGTGGGCTATTTGTTGCTTAAGGCTCTCTGTGTGCAGATTTAGAAAGTGCTAACTTTCCCAACCCTAAATTCTAAACACTTGTTTGTTTGAAAAGAAAGTGTAACATTTGCAGAAGATGATGGATAAATGGCCCACTCTGCAGGGAAGGTTTCATGCTCACTATTGGTGAATGGACATGAGTATCTGTCAAGCCCTGTCTTCTGATATTGCAGAAAAAAATGCACGCCAATTTACACTGCTGCTACACTGGGACGTGATATGAGGAAAGATGAAACATTTCAGGTAGCACACCCCTGAGAAAAATCATATACATCAACAGCCCACATTGCTTTTATAAGACAGTCCTGACACCTTTTGCTATAGCAATTTGAGTTACATTTTTAAATTCCATTATGTCAGCCCAAATTAATATTTTTGATTAATGACTTCAGCAAAATGACCAGAACTGATAGCCTAAATTTTTAGAATAGCCCTCAATTTTGCATATATAATTTTGCTCCCACAACTAAATTGAGGCACATTTAATTGTACCTGCAATTGCAGTTTTAATTACCCATACTTTGGCTATACATTTTGGCATTTAAATAGTTTTAATTATAGTTTACGGGAGCTTTCGAAAAAGGCTTCTATTTTTGAAAGAACCATGTCTAGACTGTGGTTTAACTTTCAAAAAAGTGCTATTTTGAAAGAGCACCATGATGTAATTATGCAAATGAAGCACGGGAAATTCAAATCCCGGCTTCATTTGTAATTTTGAAGTGTCTAATTTACATCCCTCTGTTGAAACAGGGATGTAGTCTAGACACACCCTAAGTGAGGAACTGAAGGGGGAGATGGGCCACGCGCACAAGGTGCAAACGAACGAACGGCATGAGGTGCCTTTTGAACATGCGCGGCCCAACTGACAACTCCTTGAAAAGCTCCGATCTGCAGCTCCAGGGACCACCCGTCACCTACAGTGGAGCCTCTATGGGGACATCATTCAAAGAACAATTGTTTTCAGTGTTACAATTACTCATGGATTATGGCTTTGATTAGGATCAAGGTCATATTATAGTAAGGTGCTGTACAAAGAGCGGAACATAGCCCCTGCCATGACAAAATTATAGGCTAAGCACTCTAAAATGACATAATCATGGGTTCAATTTAAATATTCTTTGGTTTATACTTTAAACAAAGAATCTATTTTTCAAAAAATGAAAAAAGGAAGATTAAAGAAAGAATGTTTTCTTCCCCCAAAGGGGTGCAAAAGCATACAAGGTGGGCATTATGGATTGTTAGTAAATGCAAGGAAGATTCATTTGACATTGACTGTCACTGTCACTAAAAGGATACCTTCTTCTGACTGTGGGTCTTTCACATTGGTTACGGCATCTTTGATGTCTTTCCAGGCTTGCTCTTCACCTGCCAGCATGTCAACATCCTGTTTTGACAGAAACAAAAGCAAGAAACAAAAGGACTCGATAAGAAAAAACAGAGTTGACTTTGAATATGTAAGAACATGCCACAATCAAGGTTATAAAAGATTACATTGGCACAAAGAGTGTTGGGCATGTGTACTGAAACATTTTAACCCAAATAATATCTGGAATGAAAAACAGAGTTTGCTGTTGGACTGCGTTTGCTTTCCATGACTTTTCTAATGATTGAGATTACTCCCTGGAATGCTCGTGGAAACCGAACATTGTCAGGAATATTAGAACATCAAGGAAGGTGAATTCATAAGCAGTGAGTATTGAGACCAGAAAGCCGATTCTAAGAATTATGATCATTTGAGCAGGAAACAGAAGCAATAGATCATCTCATGTTTCCAATCAAAACAAAACAAACAGCTCAAATTTCAGCTACTCACAAGGAACTGCTCACTAACAGTCTACAGACGCACAAAAAACCAACAATCCTGTAAGCTGAGCACAGACAATCTGCAAGCAGAAAGAGCCCAATTTTATTCAATACTCAAATTATAAGCATGAGTCTAGTGAATTAGTATGCTGCTCAGAAAAAATTACTTTTTCTAAAATCACAGTTATTCCCGTCCTGCTGGTAACCATATCAATCGTCACGTTTTCATGTCTCTATTTCATAATGCAGTGTGTATGAGGGGACAATGCATAATGGTGACAGCAAGGGACTGGAAATGAGGAGAAATGGATTTTATTCTCAACTCTGCCAGTGACTTACTATGTAATTTGGGGGCAAGTCACTTAGAGGCAGATTTTTCAAAGGTGTTTAGGTGCCCAAAAGTGTAGGTAGGCAATCAGTGGCATTTTCACAAGTGCTTTTAACTAAATCATGCTTCAGTTTCACCAGCTGTATAATGGGGAGAATAATACTTGCCTGAGCAAAAAGCTTTGGAAGACTTAGATGAAAGCTGTTATATAAGTATAAATGATGTTTATTTTAAAATACTCTCAAAACCAGCCCTTTAGGAAACAGAATTATATGAAGGAAATTGGGTATCAGGAGCTAGCCAAGCACTTTTGAGCCAATACACACTCCACGGGTACCACAAGATCACAGCTGTTGAGAAGTTTATAATCCATGCCTCTCTTGTGCTACATAAATAGAGAGAAATAGGAGAATAAAAGGAATTATTGTGAATTCCAAATAACAGAAAATATTTGCAGGGAACCTCTGCTCACTTTCAGGTTTAATTTTGTAGTTTTATCTTTCAATCTATGCAACAAAACAGCTGGACTCCTATCTTATCCAAGAGATAGTTAAATCAAAATTGGTCTCGGGTGTCTCATAATTCTGTAAATATTCTGTATTAGAAAATTACAAATAGGGCAACATTACCCTATTGAAATTTGCAAATGCAAAAACCAGTTCTCTGCCTGAAAAAAAGCTCACCTGGAAATAATTTTGTACACATCTAAATCTGCCATCAGAAAGGGAAAAGGTCAAAACCAGGACATGAGAGCTCATGTTGCTGTAGTCTTGCTAGCATAGCTAATAGTACAGACCTAACCTTGTTATGTTTTGTACCAAACTTACACCAAATGGCTCAAATTCAGCCTTGATATAACTCTACTGATTTTTATGGCATTGCATTGCTTACAAGGCTGATCTTGGTCTGCTCTCTGACAAACTGTTCTGACTATTGGGCCTGCTGATGCTCACAAAACACCTCTGTACATCTGGAGTTGCTCTACTGATTTTCACTGCTGTGAATAAAAACAAAATTTGGTCCATAAAATGTAAATAATATGCTACTGCACAATTAAGAGGGGGGAGGTTTCTTGAGCAAAAAGGAGGAAATTTCTGTTAAGGTTCTCACAGCCACTGTGAGACTGCCACTTGTGCAAACACAGTAGCCAATATTGCTATAGATATGCACTATGTTAAGATCCAAGCAAGCGCTCAAGGACATTGGAATAACAAGCACTGACTAGATTTAGAGGTGAGAATAAAATAGTGTGCAGTGCTTTATAGGTCAGTCCCTGGGTACAAGACAGTGTTAGGGGAGTTCATTTACATGTTCGGAGACTGATAGATGGTATAAGTTAAAGGATATGTCAAGGTAGCATTTTAGTCTGCACCTTGTTAGACTCTCCTTGGAGTCGCTTTTCTTGCTGCATGCCTGCTTTCCTGCACCTCAGCGTGAAAACTGCAAGTACATGGTATCAGGTTTCCCTAGCCATGTATATGTGCATTGGGCACAGGGATACAAAGAGTCCCCACACCCTGCAAGTCCCTGCAAAACAATTACAGGCACCGAGTTTGGTGGAGCACAAAAACTGCACCTTGTGCTCTCATCATCCTAGAGGGGACCCGAGGCCTGGCCTTAACCTCCCTACAAAGGAGCCTGTGGTATGGAGGGAACGCTACCCCTGATATAGACTTTAAGATTTAAGTCACTGACTTCAGTGGGAGATCTGTCTTTGTTTTTAGGATGTGGCTGTTGGGGAATTTGCTTGGGTAAAGATTTGTCCCTTTAAGCACCCTTGATTCCTGGAAGAGGGTTCTTGCTATATTTTTGTTGCTAATTCTAAATTTAAGACAGGACAGAATATTTCTGTCCTTTTCTGTAGGATTCTGTCCAGGACTTTCAATATAGGCAATCAAGCGGAAGCAGCAAAATGTCTACAAGTGGTCACTGTGAAAATACTACTGGCTTATAGGCTAACCAGCTTTTCCCAGTAAGCTGTTTCTGTCACTGACTTGGACTCTGCTCTGAAAATGTTGGCCATGTGATATGACTGAGACAGCTTCAAATACAAAGCTGCCTTAGAGTAGGAATTATGGAAATAATTGAAATGATTAATAGTTATGCCAAACTATTTAATTTCATGTAAGAGCATGGCATGAACAAGATTTAAATTTTCATGAAATGACCCATTGAAAGTGACTCTTTTCAGAGCAAGTTCCTGGCCAAACCTCCAGGTGTGCAGTTGCCAGCAGTAAAAAGAAACATGTCTTTTCATCTGGTGAAATGGAGAACTCACCCTGTAGCAAAGTGAACAGCCTTTGAACAACAATGAAAGTTTAGTGACACCAGTCTAATTATTTCCCCCCACCGGCAATATTGGTGTTCAACACAAAGTTTTAGTCTTCAAAAGAACAAACTGATTTGCTTATGTGGCTCCAGTTTTGTTCTGAAAAAATAATTAGCAGCATCTCAGGGATACACAATGAACTTCCAGCAGATGAGGCCGGTGGATTTACAGATTCGTGTTTCACATGGGGAGGTGTGCTGATGAGGGAAGTGCAAATGGATACGTGGGGTGGAATGATTCTAAGAGAAGGAGCAAACTGAGCAATGGCCCTTACAGCTGCACTAAGCGCTGCTCCCTCATCTGCTTGTTGCCCGACGCCAGGAGGAGAATAGGAGAACACAGACCTGGCAATACCCGCAATATGACTGACTATACTCCCTTGGAGTCAGGGAGTGCTGCAAGGCATGCTAGTTGACGCCTGGAGCGAGTATGTAGGGGAACCCTGAATGGCTATCTTGAGAATTAAGATCACTGCACCTTTGCTTCCCCATGCACAGGAGATACCCCCAAATTTAGCCATTACTTTATCTCCTGGGGAGTGACTGTAAGATCTTACAGTAAAACCTCTGTTATAGCAAAGGCCCAAGAAAATTCTGCATTTTTCCCCTCCCCTTCTCCAGCCTCGTGGCCAAGTTGGGCTGCAGTGTGGCTTTCTAACTGCGGGGAACCTTAGGATTCATGGTCTCTATCCAGCAGATCTCAGGTGCTCTGCATGGACTGCCTGCTCTTCCAATGGGCATTCTAGTTCAAACTTTGTTCTTTCCCAGAGCCTGACTTGTTTTTTGTAGTAAAACAAGCCACAATCGTCATTCCTCCTAAATGGTTTTGAGCACTGATAAACCCTGATACCCCAAAAGACACCCTCCCCCCCAACGCTGTCTGGATTTTACCCTTTGGCAGTTCACACGGGGAGCAATGCACAAAGGAATGTGTAATACTATTATAAGCAGAATTTTCTTTTGATAAAAGCTCTCTGTTTTTTTCCCCCTTTCCTAGCTGAGGCAGATGTGCAGTCTCATAAAGGATTCGAGAACTCGGGACTAGCAAATCCCTTATGCATTTGCCTGAATATTATGAGTGCTACAGACTGTAAGTCAGGACACGATAGTTTGTTGCTCTTCCTAGAGAATATCCTGCTTGTAAATCCAGTTATCTTCCCGAGCAACTGTGAAGCTTGAGGTCTTAAGTGTACAGATATTCATCATCAATTTAAATGTGAGGCACTTGTAAGTGGGCGTGCCCAACTGCATTCACTGGAAACGCTCATGAAAATAGCCTGATGCACAACAGGCATTACTGAAAGTCAACATTCGTCACAAGCTATCATAGTCTCCCCAATGCAGAGGTTTTTAGCCACATTTGTTGAAATGGAGCTGGGACCACCAATTAACAAGAACAAGAGGACAAAATGGAAGAAATAAGGGGAAAGGTTTGATGACAATTTCTTTGTATTGTGGTCAAACCTTAGAAGTCAGCCACACTGTGCTATACACTATGCAAACATATAACAAAAAGATTGTATTAGGTATTGATACACTTGCCATATGTTTGAGGGACACTTCATTTTTTCCACACGTAATCTGAGTCAACATGTGTCATATCTGCTACTTCTTGGGGCCTTAATTCCTGAAAGTGGTTCCCACAAGTAGAGAAAGATAATGTCTTGGGGGACAGGCAGAGGTGAAAATAAGAGGATGCACCCTGATGTGCAGCTCCAGCAAGAGCTGATTGAGCTGTGGCAAAAGCCAGCAGGGAGCTATTTAAAGAGCTGGCAGGGACTCAGGCTGCAATAGGAAAGTACCTGCAAGAAATCTTAAGTTACTTTCAGTGCTGGGGACAGGATACATATTTTGTCTTCTCAGCTCTGATTTTCTCTTCCTCCCCATTGTCTTTGACCTCCTTCTCTGGTTCTCTCTCATGTTAC